CCAACTCCTGCCTTAGTTTTGTCAGACAGCTCGGCTCCTTTTAAAATTGCCTCAACTGCTGTTGAATACCACTTTGCACCATTTCTCTTTTCTGTGTCCCTTTCCTCTGCAGAGAACCTAAACTTAGCATTTCAGCTTCTGAAACAGATTTGCCCTGTGGTCTCCCGGTTCTCTGGCCGTGTCGAAGGTGTTGCTTTGGGAGTTTCTCTATGACAGTCACAGCATTCACTGTGGGTAGTGGCAGGAGGGCAGGGACACTGTGTTTATTTGATTTTAATGGGCTCTAAGCTATTCCTGAGAGAGATGGATGATAAATACGCTGTCTTGGTCTAAAAAGGGCCATGTGTAGTACTTAAGGCATAGTTCTGGTGGCCTCTTGCATCCAGGAATTGCCATCATCCACAAGCTTTCAGAAGCCACCTAACAGTTCCCCAAGAGGAGCCCTGGGGTCTCCCAGGCACGAAAGCCCCTCCCAGCCTGAGACTGGAGGTACACTGCTATTTTCTAGCAGGGCTCTGATGTATGAGTTGCTGCAAGAGCTCTGTAAATACAGAGCTTTATGTGGCTGGCTGCCCTAGGTGCCCATGACTCAGTTTTTTTCTCCTTGTGTGATTAGGTGGATTCGTTCTATGTTATGTATTTCTTGTGTCCTCGCGAGAAGTACAGGCGGTCCTCACTCTGCGCACTGCCAAGTCCACAAAAGCGCGTGCACACTGGGGCCATCCGCTCAGTGTGCATGGCCTCACGGTAACTGGAAGGGAACACTCAGGTCTGGCGCTTGCAGATTTTAGTGAACCCGGTTCAGTGCCAGGGGGACTACATTACCATTTAAATACAATTGGGATGAGAACGCGGTGACAGTAGTTGGTGCCCACTGGGCACGGGTGCCTGATTGTTTCCCAAGATGCAATTCATACTGGAGAAAGAGGGTAGAGTGAGGTCAGGTTAGGAGCACAATGATGGAATAAAGACAGAATCTCCCAGAGATGGAGGGCCGTGGGAGCTCAGGAGGAAACACGGCCATTGCTCCCTGGGGACAGGAGAATCGGAGAGGACGCCTGGAAAAGCCAGCATCTGGGAGCTTTGAGAGAGGAGTAGGGTGTAGAGAGGCAGAAGAGGGAAGTGGGAGGTGGGCATTCCAGGCTGAGGGGGCAACACAGCCCAAACTCAGAGGGGGGCTCAGCCCCTGTGCTGGCACAGCCCAGGGAGGACCCTGGGTGACACTGGCCATCTCTGCTTTTCAGGTATGTGTGTCACAGGTGGCTGATGAGAATCAGTCATGTGCTGGGGTCCCAGGTATCACCACCTCATGACCACGTTAGACTCCTGAACAAACCCACAGAGGCAGACTCTGGACACTGTCCCCACTTTAATAGATGACAAAGCGGAGACTCAAAAGGCAAAGACTTATCTGTGCTGCACAGCCAGCAAATGATTCAGCAGGGTGAAGAATGCAGCTTTCCCGAGGCCTGATCTGCTCCTTTTTCTCCTGGACCACACTGAGGATTTAGCGCTTTGATAACTGCATTTGATCTACCCTGAAGTGTCCGGCTGCACAGGACTTTGCTTACAAAAAATTAATTATTATACCCGATCTCCCCTTAAGGAAGAAGTGCCCATTGAGGGAAAAACAAGAAAACTGACATAGGCACGTGGAATGGCTTTGAGTTTGACTGTTCATTTATTTCTCTTCTACTTAGACTTTTACATACATACTTAGTTTTGTTTGAAAATTAATGTGGATTAGGATTAGAACATGATTGTCACGGTTTGGGTCTAGATATCCCCCAAAGCCTCCTACAGTGAGGTGGGGGTTTTTCAGAGGTGGCTGAATATAGTGTGCGTGGCTGGGATTAAGGGTGGGTGATTACTAAATCAGTCCACAGCTTAGTTTGGCACTGCCCTAATCCTGGTAGCCTGGATACAATATAAGGGACAGGAAGAGCCTTATCTTGTCTCTTGCTTGCTTTGCTGCCTTCTGCCAGCCATGAACTGTTTCTCCGCTGCAAGCCCGTCCTCCATGCCACACTGCCTTGGAGCCGGCTGACTATGGACCAAAATCTCTGCAAACTGAGAGCCAAATAAACCTTTCCTCCCTTAACTTGTGGGTGTTGGGTATAGAGACAATGGTTCTCTATAGATTTTCAGTTGGAAGAAAGGAGAAAGGGGAGGAAGGAAAGAAGGAAGGAAAGGAGAAAGAAAGAAAAACAAGGAAAGAAGGAAGGGAGGGAGAGGTTTTCACTGTGCTGTCAAGCTGTCTTCATGTAGTGTAGATTTCTCCCCTCATTAAGCCAGCAATCCACACAGGACTGCCATCAGGCTCTATTCCAGGCTCGCCACCCAAGGGTCCCCAATGAACATGGCCACCACCTCATGACTTCCAGACTCTGGAGTTCACCAGGAGCAGCCCAAGGAAGCCTTTGCACCCCACCCGGCACACTTCCAGCCAGGTCAGCACAGGTTTAAATCTCATCCGGGTATCTAAGAACCAGCAAGATGGCGCTGTCCGTGACACATCCTCGCTCCCACCCCCACCCTCACTCCCGCTGGTCTGAAGTCTTTGATTGAGTAAAACACAGCCTGAAAGGGCTGGGGGGCTTGAAAGCAAAACTGTAAACAATCCCAAATCCCATTGGTGATTCTTGGCTGATGATTCTTCTAGGGTCCACCAAAGAGGGGCAACCAGAGGAGAGGGTCTCTGTTTGCTTGAAACAAAATCTTGGTACCCTTCTCACATCTGCCTCATTTCGGGTATTTTCCAAGTGAGAGTTCATTAGGAAGACACGAAAGCACGTTCCATTAATATCCATCAAAGAGGGGTTCAGTTTCAAAGCACAGGGGAAATACAATAGCGTTGAAGCTAGCTGCCTGAAAAGGGTCGGGAGCCCCTAAGAAGCAGCGGAGAAGCAGGGATGATAACTCGGATTATGTTCTGCCGAGTCGTGCTTGCTTTGGCAGCACATGTACTAAAATGTTTTGTCGAGTCAAGCCTTACTGGGGCAGAATAAGCGAATCTCAGGAAAACTGGTGTCGCCTGGGCACTCTCTTTGTTACACAGGCAGCTCTTACACTAAATGTGTAATGTTCACAAATGCGTGGGTTTCCTTTCCCACACTTTCTCCTGTTGGCACCAAACCTGAGGAATTCAGAAGTCCTCCCCTACCATAATGACTATTAACATGACTTAGAGGATCCACAGTGTCTTAGTCACTTTTTTGTCACTGAGACACAGTCCGTAGTCAGGTAGCTCCAAGGTAAAAGGGCCTGGTGGGGAGGAAAAGCTGCTCGTGGAGTGGACAGGAAGCCAAGAGGAACAAGCTCCCCGGGCCACACTCCCAGGGACCCGCTTCTTCCCACCAGACCGCACCTCCTACCAGCAAGCCACCTACAACCCCCTTTCTCCAATCACCTCTCACAGCTCCACCTGCATTTGCACGAGCCTTTGGGGAGACATCTAGACATAAGCCGTAATGCGCACAAACAGGATGGACTAGAGATCGGAGCACAGGGATGAGGGCAGTGGGTGAAGAGGATGTGGATGGGAGGTCTGGGAAGGGTGGGGAGAGAGCTAGGCCTGGGACAGAGGGACCCTGTGTCTGTCCTTGAGCAGAGAACAGGCCCAGGCATTGGTGAGCGTGAACCAGGCTTCTGCTTGGTGGTTGATGTGAACGGAGCCAGCGTGTCCCTTCCTGGGGTTGCCCGGGGTGTGGGGGATGACGTGTTACTAGGGTTTATATCTAAACTGTAAACCCAAACGCTCACGCACGTGGGAAGGGGACTGGACCGCATGGGGCACTGTCCTCATCAGCGGATGGGTGCCGCTCTGAGCTCCGGGAGCGAGCAGCTGTTTGTCACCACGTCCCTCTGCTATCCAGCTTCTTCCCTGGACCCAGGTGACTGGATCGAAACCAGGAGCCAAAATTTAAGTTCTCTTTCTTCAAGTTGTGGGTGTTGGTTGTTTTGTCCCAGTGACAGGAATGGCCGTTCAGTCAGGAGCAGGGTGCTCTCCCTCCACAGAGCTGTTCCTGGCTGCTCTGTCTTGGGAATGCTCCCCACTGCTTCAGAAATCTCGGCCTCCCTGGGACTCTAGAAGGTGTGAACGCTTCCAGGGCTCCAACTCTCACGTACTGTGGGCCTCCCAAAATACTCCTTTGATCATAAATCCTTGGATTAACATGAATGAGAAACTCTTAACTCTGCAGGGAAAAAAAAAATCTATCCTAAGAATTCAGGGCCTGGTGGTGTATGCTTGTAATCGCAGCATTCAGGAGGCTGAGGCAGGAGGCTCTCGTGAGTTTGAGGCCAGCCTGGGCCACAAAGTGAGTTCAAAGCCATCCTGGGATACAAAGTGAAACCTCGTTAAAAAAAAAAGTGGAGGGGGTAATCAGATCATCGGAGAGAATAACAGCAAAGTATAAATGTGATGAGGACAAGTCATCCCGTATGCCAGTGCCTGGCATGTAGTAAGTGCTAACTAAATGGTAGGCTAATCATTTCTCATGGACTTTTGGGAGACATCCACTAATATTCAGGGGGCACCCACTGAATGTGTGCTGTGACAGCTTACATGGGTGTAGGGCATGTACCCCCTCTGCCCTTCCAGTGTGGTGGCAGCCATCGAAACAGGGTGGCCCTGGACACCTGGCACACGGAGGAGTGCACACTGCTTGTCCCTTTGCTTAGAGCTAATGCAAGGCGGCTGCAGGGTGCTGTTCCCTAGTGACTCAGTCCTTTGTCCTTAGCAGACATGGATGCCATGACTAGCATTGGTGGCCGAGACCACGGCTCCAAGTCTACGAAGAGGAAACACCCTTTTCCCCTGCAGTGCAGCTCGCAGCTCGCCACGGCGCCTGTCAGCAGCCAGCTCTCCCTGTCCGTCTGCACAGCTATCAAGGTTTCTCCACAGGCTCGTCAGTCAGCATGGATCCTTTTGAAGGGTGGACAAGAAATCCTGAATCAGTCCCTTGGGCAGCGGAGGCAAAGTGGGAACTGGTAGAAAAGATACGTGGGTCCAACACAGAGATGGAGATGCAAAGGTAACCATTCGGGGATGCATCCAACACCCCTTTGGTAGGTACATACCTCATGCCGGCCACTGAGGCTGGTACTGAGGTGCAGTCAAACCAAGCCCGGCCTCTGATCTGAAAGGCTGCTGCTTTGTTCCGGGTGCTGGTTAAGATTTAAAAACATTCAACAGGTTGCTTACTCAAGAGATGAGCAGGTTTGGTTTGGTTTTGTATTTTTAGATGGGGGTCCTCGTTATGGATTCCAGGCTGGTCTTGAACTCATTTTGTAGCCTAGTCTGGCCTTGAACTAGCAGCGATCCTCCTGCCCCAGACTCTCTAGTCCTGGGATTACATGCACACGGCTCCATGCCTGGCTAAGGTTTGGGTAGTTATTATCGATGTAGTTTATTCTTCAATAAGCGATTGGTCTTGTTTTGAAGGACTGTAGCACAATGAGAGCCCAGCAGATGATTCTATGGGGCGGCCAGACTCGACACCCAGGGAATGGTGGGAGAGGCGAGGTTGGTGGGATGTTGGGCTTTGAGGACCACTGTCCGGGCCAGCTGGGCTCCTAGCAGAGGATCTAGGTGAGCAGACAAGGGAGAGGGACAGTCATGTGGTGTGAGCAGGAGCCACGAAGAACCTTGCACGGCTGGGGCATAAACGGGGCAGTGGAAACTCTGAGTCCCAGAGCATGTGCAGTTTGAAGCCCTTGCCACTTTCCACAGAGGACGAAGCTAGGAGTTTAAAGTAAGACACGAGGTTTCGTGCATAGTATGGCCACACAAACACACACACACACACACACACTGCTCCCAAGGCCACAGTCGATTTTCAGAGCAGCGTACATGAGCTTGCTGTATACAAAGAAGAACTCTTCTCTCTCTTTTTTTAAGTCACTCTCAGTATCAGGAGATTTTGAGTGAGAGCTCAACGCCTGCTATGTCAGACATAAGCAGCACATATCTCCTGTCCTCTACGTCTTTGTTTTCAGGGAAGCAGCTTTTCCTTACCCTTTTGGGGGCTGACTTGCTGCTTGTCTCCTTTGAACTGTTGTCTGCTCTCTGCTTTTCTCAAGAGAAGACCCTAGTCTGGGGGAGGGAGATCCAGGATTTGTTCATCTTTACCACCTTTAGCCATTTACTTTTTCTTCCCCAACTCTTAGGAGTTTCCAGAAAAACAAACAAACAAACAAAAAACAAAACTGAAAAAAACTCCGAGCAGCCAAACATATGAAGAGATTGAATCTCCTCTGTGACTGCAGGCGGGCTGATGTGTCTTCTTGTGACTTGTTCCTTCCCAACAGCAGGCTGAAGGGCCCTGCTCTGCTGGGTCTGGTGGGGTGGTGCTGGCTGAGGCGCTGGTGATGCCCTGCACGCTGCCTGTGCAGGAAGCCTCTGGGGCACAAGTGAGCTCTCATCAGTCACAGGGACTTGGGGGGGTGGGACGCGTGCCCCAAGGACTCAGGTAGGGCAGTGAAGAGGGGAGGGGACAAGGACGCTGTAGCTATGAAAACTCTTGTGCTTCTCAGGCCCCTAAAGGGAACCCATAAGGAGGTGCCCTCCAGCTGGGCGGGTTCCTGTAGGAGGCAGGCAGAGCCCCTCTGGGAATGGGGGGAGTCTGGGGCCCTGTGAGGAGGGTGGCTCTGGGAAGCTGCCCGCCCTCTGGGAGACCTGGTTTTCCTTACCCAGTGGAAGTTAATGGCGATGTGTCTGGTACGGTGTGATGTTGGGGTGGCCATAGTTTGCATATGGAAAAGTGTGTCTGGAAAACAAGGAGAAAGAAGGAAAAGGGTTCCTTCTTCAATAAAGTAGAGGAAACACTGATGTCCAGAGCATCCTACCCGGCATTGACAGCAAGCACTCTAGGCTGCTCTGGCCTCTGGGAGCACTTCTGTCGCTCTTTCTTTGCAGGCTTCAGTGCAAACCCTACTGCAAAACAGGAGATGAGAGGCCCTGGGTTTGGGTTTCTGTTCTGCCTCCCACTCCTGGAGAGCATTGGGGGGCTCTCCATGCCTTGGTTTCCCGTGCACATTCTGGTAGAATATTATTAAGGCCCTGCCCACTCATGGGTTCCATGCTGTCCTAAAGAAGCTTCTTAATAATATGAGGTGTGATAAAAAAAATCAGTGTTTACATTTTTAAGTTTGTTATGCTAAGATACATTATCATTAATTTCCCTCAGAATCCTTCCTCTTGTTTCAAACACACGGATCTCATTGTCCTTGCCCCTTTCTGCAGCCGCTCTGCAAGTCTCTTTCCTGAGGGTCTTTAGTTGCACTGTCCTGGCTGCCTTGATTCAAAACATTGACCTTTCAGGATCATTTTGACTTTGGGGAAGAGCCAGAAGTCACACGGTGCCAGACCCAGTGAATAAGGCGGACGAGGACGCAGCGTCGTGTTTTAGGAGCTGCCTTTCCAGGGGGTGGTACTCGGGAGCAGCAGTCATTGTATTTCGATCAGACCTCATAAAGACCCTCACGAAAGAGCACTTCCAGAACTGCTTCAGACAGTGGCGAGAATGGTGGAATCAGTGTGTCTGAAGTGAGGCAGAATATTTTGAGAGAGGTGAATGGCAGTGTGTCTTTGACTGTTCACCTTTTAAACATCTAAACATTTGCTGTATGTTTTGATCACCCCTTTGTATCTTTGAAGGACCGAGGAACCACTCGTTTGGCTGAATACCTGGGGTACTAGCGGTGTATCTCCTGTCCACTCACGACAGGAACCAGGAGTTGCGCTTGCCATGCCGAGCCCTGGCATTCCGCATTCCGCACAGTGACAAGCTGGCTTGGATGGGTCCCTGTGGCTGCTCAGTGGCACGCAGGAGAGTGCAGGGTGCACACAGCTGCCGTGCTGCATCCATGCTAGTCAAGGAAGCAGCAAGGGAACAGGCCGGGGTGTGGCTGGCATGGGACGACCAGGACAGGGTGGTAGGAAGTCGAGTCGCTGTGAAGTTGCAGGCACTGGTTGAGACCCACTGAGGGAGGAGAAGTACTCGTCTGCACCCACCCAGTTCCCATCTGAGATCCGAAGCCAACTCCCCGAGCCCTGTTGAAGTTGGCTAGTGAGGATCCCCAAACCACAGGCTCCAGAGAGAGGAGCCAGAGAAGCCACCCACGGGAGGAGGGGCACACAGAGGAAAGCCTGGCTCCGGCCCCTGCATGTTCAGACCTGCAGGACGACTGTACCCCCACCCCGGGGGTGCTAAGACCCGGAGTGGGACCAACCTGAGTTCACAGCTGCCAGGGGGGCAGGGAGCCGAGCGCGCCCCCTCGAGGTTAGCGCGGACACAGGAGGACGTCACCGGTCACTCGGGACGTCTTCCACCCTCAGCCACGCCACGGGGGAGGCTTGGTTTGGAAAGCGCTACGACCCCCCCACCCCTGTCACACTGCTGCTTTCAGCTAAAACACAGGGTTAGCTGGAATTTTCGTCCAGACCTCAAAGATCTGGTCGCATTGTCTGCGACGTTTCCTTCGGAGGGCTCCTCCCCCGTGCTTAACAAAAAGGGCGAAGATCTGAGCGCCTGGGGAGCTTGCGGGATGTGGATAAAGGCCGGGCCACCCCGGTGCCACGGCTGCAGAGAAGCGCAGAATAACGCAGGGAGGGAAGCCTTCAGAAGTGGACGCATTGGAGCAGGACTGACAGTCACCTGTCCACTCGCCCGGAGGTAGGGTCTCACTTGAGTCACGGTCCTTGAACACACACGCACGCGCACGCATGGAGCCCCCCACCCCACCCCCGTTACTCACAGTAATTAGGAGCTGAATTCCGCAGGTTGCGGGCTGGACTCAAGAGACCCAGCAAAAGGGACTCTTGAGAGGGAGAAAGGAATTCCACACCGGTGAGGTTAGGGCCGCGGTCCCTAAAGAGAGGTGGCTTTAGAAAGGCACGGTCCCAAGGCTCTCGGGGAGGGGGAGGGGGAGCTGCGGCAGCCCTGCAGATGCGTGGGCGCCCGCTGTGGCTTTACGTTCCAGCACCCCCATCTGCACGGCCCGGGGCCCTAAGTTGCCCTATTTTCTCCACCCATCTCTGAAAACCTTCCCGCTCTGGGGCTACTTCAAAGCCGCTGGGAAAGCCAAGTCGCCAATTAAGCCCCTTTGAGGCAGGTTCTCATTCCTCCCCACTAATTGAAATGTTACTCCTTTTGCTAAACCCACAAACCACCCAAACACAACGGTCTTCCTCATTTGCATTGTAACAATGTCCCTAATGTGGTGGGGAGAGCTGGCCGTGGAGGCGAACCCTTTCTCCAGCCGGGGTAGGAACAGTCAAAGCAATCCCAGGCGAAGGCCTTCATTTCCATCCCTATGCGGCCGCTCATTAGCTAAGGTGGGATAAATTCCTTTTGCTTGGGATCCGCTTCCCAGGACGATAATGTCTTTTTTGTCTCAGGCCGTGGTTCCCAAACTAGGCCTTAATTGCTGATAGTAATTGAGTTAATACACATTTACAGCGGGGGAAGGTTCACGAAGGTCTCCTGTAGTTTTATTTGAGACATTTTATTTTACCTGCAATAAAGTCATTAACGAGTCGCTCCGCGTTAATTCGCTGGGTCCTTTCTCCGTCTGGGCTCCTTGGGAAAGTGTGGGGAGGGCAGATGGCTTGGGCGTGGGATCAGCCTCTAGGCTGCTTCGGGACCCTTCAGCACCAGGTCCCCCTCTGGGGCTGGGAGGAGCCGTTCTGCGCGCTGATAGCCCGGGGCTCTCTCTGGGCGCCCCGCCAAGGCACAGGCGGTGATGAAATCCCATCAAAGCCGCCGGCTGGGCCGGCTCCTGAATCAGCTCCCACCAGTGGCACAGCCCAAAGTGGCCCGCAGTCCCGGCACGGAGCCCAGGCGGCAGGCAATGTGACAGCACTGCCCGCTGGTGCCCGGAGGAGGGGCCCGGGCTCCGGGCGCCACCCTGGGAGCCCTGAGGCCTGCCACGCGAAGTCAGGTTTCAGCCTTTCGTCCGCGGTAAAGTGCGTGCCTGGCACGCAGAGGCCCTGGCTTCACCCCAGCACCTAAAAAATAAAATAAAATAGGTTTGAATCAACCTGCGGGGTCAAGTGTCCCCAGAGGGCTGCTGCTAGGTGCCAGGAACTCGCTTCCGGTCTCCAGGCTCTGCCTTGGGCCTCTGCAGCTTCTCTTTCTGATTGATCCAGAAGCAGGGCCCCAGAATGGATCCAACTGTGGTGGAGGCAGCCAGCAGTTTCCCAGAATCCACGTTGCCCTGGGCTTCCTGGTGCCCGACTAGGCTTGATTTCCTGGGCTTCCTTCAGGTCAGATATGGTCCCCTAACATTTCCAGCTGATGGGGGCGTGGGGACAGAGGGCCACAGTGGGCGTGACCCTCTGGGAAACTTCTGAAGCTGAACGCTAAAAGTGGCAGAACCAGTGGGGTGTGGCTCTTGGAGGGAGGCTGAGGCAGGAGGATCAGGATCACTGTGAGTTCAAGGCCAGCCTGAACTATGTACCAAGACCCTGTCTCAAAAAAACAGAGCAACAGTGGCAGAGCCTGTCAGCTCAAACTCACTATTATATAGCCCAGGCTGGCCTCAAACTTGTGGTAGTCTCCCTGCCTCAGCCTCCCAAGTGCTGGGATTTCAAGTGTGCCTCACCACCACTTAGCACAACTCAGCTCAAAAGTATAAACCAGGGTGGACACCAGCTCTCCTATCCAGAGTCCTGTGAATGAATGGGAAGTAATGCTGGTGGAATTTAAGCCGTGTACCACTTTGGGATGATTTGCTGGAAAGAGCAGCAACTACCCAGGCAGATGTGCACCAGACCCAGGGCTACAAAGCCCATCCACCAGGGTTTCCCTGCAGCCTGGAGACCCACCTCTGACTCCAACCCCTCTGGGCAGCCTTCCTGGGGCAGAATAAATCCAGCCCGGCCTTGCTCAGCCTTCATCCTGGTCACTGCCCAGAACCGCTTCTGCCTGACTCTGGGCAGATTGAGAAGCAGGAGCTTGGCCAAGGAGCAGGAGTCAGAAACTCGTGTGAAGACTCCAGGCCTCTCAACCAAAGGCAGAGCTTGTGACCCGGATTTCATCAGTGTTGCTGGAATCAGGCTCTAGAGCCCCAGATGTGCAGAAAACACGAATCCAGTTTCTGTGGCCATTCAGCCACAGTGGGAGAAGATGCGCCTTTAGCTATGTGCTTCTGCCCCTTCTTCTCAAAGATGGGGAGACTGAGGCAGGGTAGAGGGGACTCAGCCCTGGGCCTCCTGACTCCTAGCTCACCTTAGGTGGCCTGATTAAGTGGCTTAGCTAACTTTTTTGTTTGTTTGTTTGAGACAGGGTCTCACTATGTAGTTGAGACTGACCTGGAACTCACTATGTAGCCCAGGCTGGTCTCGAACTCACAGTGATCCTCCTGCCTCAGCCTCCCTAGTGCTGGGATTACAGGCATGTGCCATCTCGCCCGGCATGGTTTATGGCAGAATCAAGTGGAGGCCACATGCTTGCGGTTGTTAGGTGTCCCTCTGTGACTCCTGTAACTTCACCAGCCCTTTTGATTTTTTATTTTGAGACAGGGGGCTAAGTTATCCAGGCTGGGCTCACACTTGTGATCCTCCTGCCTCAGCCTCCCAGACAGCTGGGATTACAGATGTGTTTCACCATGCCTGGCTCATTCTTCATCCTTTTTAATTCATCGGGATGTGCTTGTCTTCAGTCTGTTTCTGTATTCTCAAGCACTCCTCTGTGGAATGGCCTTCTCTGTGACACTGCGTATCTATGAGGGTGTTCCGGGGCCGACACTTCTGATGGAAGTGTATAAGGAAGTAGAAATGCCAGCCTTCTTGGGGAGCCTTCCACACCATCTGGGGGGATGTGGACCTCATTCCTGGGCTCCAGAGGAGGCCCTGGAACAGGCAGGGAGTGCAGCACTCCAAGTCACCGTCCCTTCTCTGTAGTGCCCTCACCTGAGTGTGCTGAACGGCGATTCTGGGGAGGAATTCCATCCCCCCTCGTAGAGGGGAAACCGAGGCTCAGCCAGGTCTCTGCAGGGTGCAGTGCGTCCTGGGCCCTGCTTCTTGCACAGCCTGAACTACACAGTGAGGCTGCTGCTCAGAGGTCTTCTAATCACAAAGAGAGTGACACCAGTGCTTAAGTATTTATTTTTGTCAAATATATACTTTAAAACTCAAGCAACCCTGTTTTCTCTATCTGCACGTTTCCTCCAGCTCTAACTTCTAGACTTCGTTTCTCAGCATCTGGAGGCACCTGGGCCTCAGTGTGGTCCCTGGTCATCGGAGCAGGTTCAGACCCAGGCTTTCTGCCTCGTGTTGCATCTTCCCTTCTGGTTGCTTAACTCTTGGCTCCAGAGAGATCCCTAAGGCCAGAGGACCCAGTCCTTGTTGCTCTCTCTACTGGGGCCGTGGCCCACAGCAAGCCTGTGCTGGGCTCAGGTGTCCTGGGAAGACCCGGAAGACGGCGCCCGAACAGGCTACGGTGAGGGGAAGACGCACAGCGTTCCTGTAAATCCCAGAACAAGGGGGAGGAGGAGGGGAGGAGCAGGAAAGGGAAGGGCAGGGGGGAGGAAGAGGCATTGCCACCCCCATGGGTCTTCATTCATGAGACGGTCGCCTTTTCCGGGTGCTGATGTCCCTCTCTGACCCGTCTGATTCATTGCTGCTTTATTGGGAGTCTTTTTTTTTTTTTTTTTTTTTGGCAGAGCTGGGGGAGCAGGGTAATGATGTGGGATGATAGCTCACACTGGGATAGAGAGGAGAAAGTGTTCAGTATTTACTGGATGCTTAGTGTGATGAAGAAGGCTTACTTCACAATGCAGGTATTTGTAATTCATGACGTGGTATTTTTTTTTTTCCATGTGAGCTTTTTCCTTAACCTTAAAAAGAGAAAAACAACAAGGGGCTATAGCTTACACTGGGGTAATTGCTTAGCAAGGGCAAGGCCCTCGGATTAATCCCCAGCACCACCCGAAGAACTGTAGGTGCAGCTCAGTACAGTTTGGGCCAGGTGAGGCGGTGCATGCCTCTAATCCCAGCCTGCAGGAGGCTGAGGCTGGAGAATCACCATGAATTCAAGGTCAGCATGGATGGACTGCGTAGTGAGTTCAAGGCCAGCCTGTACTCCATAGCAAGACCCTGTTTCAAAAAGCCAAATAAAAAAATAATAAAATCTTTGAAAAATGACCCTTTGGAAAGCAGAGATCTGCAGAGGGCAAAGTGAAGACAATGAGCACCTCACTGTCACAAGGACACAGAAAAGAGAAGCTCTGTCAATGCCTGACGACTTCACAAGACAAGGTATCATATTTTAAAAAATAGTGCTAAGGATCGAAGCCAGGACCTCCTGAGTGCCAGGCAAACTCTAGCAGAGCAACACCTTCAGCCCCAAGCCAATACCCCTTAATTGTCAAGGGCAAGACACCTGTGCCCACAGCAGGGACTCCTGGCTCTGAGGAGCTGAGGCAGGATTTGCACTCATAAATGCCTGAGTCAAAGCCAAATCTCTTTCCATCACATCAAATTGCTCCCCTAAGCAAATAGAAACAGTGACGGAGGACCCCAGGTCCGGCCCCACCCCCAGAGACTGGGCACCAAGAGGAGCCATGGCAGGCTCAGGGCTCAGCCAGGAGCCCGCTGTGGGCCAGGGCTCCCTCCCATCCTGTCGGGATCTCTCGTGCCCTGAGAACCCCGATCACCTGCAGACACCCGTGCAGCCCCGTCCTTCCCTCGGCGACCCGCATGGTCCACAGCCGGATCTTCCCTTCCCAAAGGCTGAGTGAAGACCTTCAGGCCGAGAGCAGGGAGCCTCTCCCCTCCGAGGTCCCTCCGAACGGAGCAGGGGATAAACACCTTTGTAAGGCAGTGGTCTCATTTTGTGGATGTGAATTCAAAGGCTCCCAGCTCCATTCTACCCATCCTGCCTCCGGCTTAAGTTTTCAAAACGAATTCTCTCTGCGTTAATCTGAAAAGACTTTCTCAACAAAAGGCCCGTATCTGAGTGTATTTACCGAGTGTGCAGCTGTGTCAATGGCCGGCACAAAGCCAGGCTTCCTGGTCAGCCCACAATGGGCCACAGGTATCTTAGGGACAGAGGGCACAGGCAGGGCCTCTCTCCAGCCAGCCAGTCTCCTTCCAAGAGGGCCCGGCTGGAGCCCAGGGGTCAAGAGAAAAGGAGGGCGAACGCCCCCGCCTCGGCACACAAGTGGGGACTGAGAGATATGATCTGTGAGCCCATCAATTAGGGCTATTAGAAAGGTAATTAGCCCTTTTCCATGGAAACCAAGGACAGAGATGTGAAAAGGGGGACATTCGTTTCCACGTGGTTACATTTTAATGTGACCAGGACTCTGGTAATGAAGCGGAGGCTGTCACTGCGAATGTCACTTAGTGGCTCTTGATGGGAAGGTGGTATCAAGTCAGCTAAGGAGCTCTCCCATCAGAAAAGGAGGATTTTTTTTTTTTTGCAAAAAGTATGTGTATTTTTTTTTCTGCCGTCAAACTCTAAATGCAAATGTAATAGTCCGATTTAGGGGGCTTGGGGAGGAGGGGACGCCGTTTCCCCTCAAGCTTCCTCTCCTGGACAGAACTGCGGCAGGTTGGGTCCACAGTGAACCATTTGTCTTGGGTTCCGGCCCATGAGAAATTCAAAGCGGGTTCTCTAACATGTGTGAGCATTTTGATAATGACGCCCGAGAGAGAGAGAGAGAGAGAGAGAGAGAGAGAGAGGGAGAGAGAG